ATTTATCACTTTCACGGGTTTATTACGAATCAACTTAACGGCCTGCTCCCAGTTGGCTTGTTAGCTCAATTGGTAGAGCGCTGCACTAGTATCGCAGAGGTCAGTGGTTCGAATCCCGTACAGGCCTGATTTTCGCTATTGCTTAAATAGCGCTATCTACTGCGAGGATCGTGCATCATATGTATCTAATACCGCAGTTCAAAATATATGAACTTCATATATTTCATTGTATCTCATTTATCACTTTCACGGGTTTATTACGAATCAACTTAACGGCCTGCTCCCAGTTGGCTTGTTAGCTCAATTGGTAGAGCGCTGCACTAGTATCGCAGAGGTCAGTGGTTCGAATCCCGTACAGGCCTGATTTTTTTCAGGTCTGATTTTCGCTATTGCTTAAATAGCGCTATCTACTGCGAGGATCGTGCATCATATGTATCTAATACCGCAGTTCAAAATATATGAACTTCATATATTTCATTGTATCTCATTTATCACTTTCACGGGTTTATTACGAATCAACTTAACGGCCTGCTCCCAGTTGGCTTGTTAGCTCAATTGGTAGAGCGCTGCACTAGTATCGCAGAGGTCAGTGGTTCGAATCCCGTACAGGCCTGATTTTTTTCAGGTCTGATTTTCGCTATTGCTTAAATAGCGCTATCTACTGCGAGGATCGTGCATCATATGTATCTAATACCGCAGTTCAAAATATATGAACTTCATATATTTCATTGTATCTCATTTATCACTTTCACGGGTTTATTACGAATCAACTTAACGGCCTGCTCCCAGTTGGCTTGTTAGCTCAATTGGTAGAGCGCTGCACTAGTATCGCAGAGGTCAGTGGTTCGAATCCCGTACAGGCCTGATTTTTTTCAGGTCTGATTTTCGCTATTGCTTAAATAGCGCTATCTACTGCGAGGATCGTGCATCATATGTATCTAATACCGCAGTACAAAATATATGAACTTCATATATTTCATTGTATCTCATTTATCACTTTCACGGGTTTATTACGAATCAACTTAACGGCCTGCTCCCAGTTGGCTTGTTAGCTCAATTGGTAGAGCGCTGCACTAGTATCGCAGAGGTCAGTGGTTCGAATCCCGTACAGGCCTGATTTTTTTCAGGTCTGATTTTCGCTATTGCTTAAATAGCGCTATCTACTGCGAGGATCGTGCATCATATGTATCTAATACCGCAGTACAAAATATATGAACTTCATATATTTCATTGTATCTCATTTATCACTTTCACGGGTTTATTACGAATCAACTTAACGGCCTGCTCCCAGTTGGCTTGTTAGCTCAATTGGTAGAGCGCTGCACTAGTATCGCAGAGGTCAGTGGTTCGAATCCCGTACAGGCCTGATTTTTTTCAGGTCTGATTTTCGCTATTGCTTAAATAGCGCTATCTACTACGAGGATCGTGCATCATATGTATCTAATACCGCAGTTCAAAATATATGAACTTCATATATTTCATTGTATCTGAGTTCTACTAATGTTTAGAATAACACTCTTGTTTCTATCACACCCTACATCACTGACAAGACCCCCTTCCCTATTTGGCATTCCCCATATGTAGCTTTATGTTATTCCCAATAATACATATATCTTATTAACCAAGTGCGAGGGCCGTACTGGGAGAATACTGGCTCGAGGTCTTGACAGTACGGACCGAGCGCAGCGAGGTCCATACAAAAAATACCGAAGGCTGATATTCTCCCAGTACAGTCCCGAGCAAGCTTGGTTAATAAGAGATTTATTATACGACTGAAGTTCAAAGGGACACAAGTGCAGCATCATTCGGGACCATTCCGGACAGTGCCCGGTCCAATACTGAGAGAATATTGAGCGCAGCGAGGTCCATACAAAAAATACCGAAGGCTGATATTCTTCCAGTACAGTCCCGAGCAAGCTTGGTTAATAAGAGATTTATTATACAATTGAAGTTCAAAGGGACACAAGTGCGGTATCATTCGGGACCATTCAGGACAGTGCCCGGTTTAATTCTGAGAGAATATTGACCGGCATTAGAGCATTTTGATTGATTGATTTTAGTTATTGGCCCTCTAACTGCCTGATTTGTGTAATAAATTTGATTATTTACCATTATAAAACATGACAGATACTGCTAGATTGTGGTATAGATTTTTATTATCTTCTTTATTCATTCATCTCTGGCGTGTACAAAAAACTATATTTTCTATTTTTGCATAAATTAGCAAAGTACTGCTTTATCTATGCATTCTCATATCTAGATTTTTAAAAAGTTATAACAATATTCAACTTTTGATAACTTTTTGGAAGTTAATTACAAGATAAACCAATAGAGATTAACAATTATTGTAAATGTACATTTGTTTGCCTCTTTTTTTCTACAAGGAATTCAGATTCAAATGTAAAAAAAGGCATCACCAAGGTGAACCTCAAAAGGTACAAATTATAAAATTTTCGGACAATGTCAAGTATCAAAGTTATTCTAGGATATTCTGATTTAAATGTAACAAATAATAGTTGATGAAACTTTTCATCTTGGTGTTTTGAAGTTGTTGAATTTCATTACCACAAATATGTTGATCTTGTGCAAAAACTGGGCTCAGACAGAATCCGCTTTTCAGGCCTGTTTCAGGAATTTTTAGAAACAGTTACATTTTAAGGGAGCTGAACTTTGTGATCCTTGGAATCGTTAGGACATTGGGCCCTCCACATGAAGTAAAGTAAAGTCTGTTTACGAGCCTAGTGGCCCATTAGGCCGGCACTTAACTCCAGTTTCTGTAGCATGAGGTGACTAGGGGTATTTCTACTCCCCCCTGGATGGGATGCCAGTCCATCGCAGGGTTACCCCCAGCATTAAATTGCCGGTACCCATTTATACACCTGGGTGAAGAGAGGCACTGTGAGAGTAAAGTGTCTTGCCTAAGAACACAACACAATGTTCCCGGCCGGGGCTCGAACCCGGACCACTCGATCCAGAGTCGAGCGCACTAACCATAAGGCCACTGTACCTCCACACCCCTCCACATGAACAGGGCTTTATTTTTTTGAATTGTTGTATGTAGGGAGCAACCTTCAGCAACTCACAGAAAACCCTGGACAGTTGAGGAACAGGAACTTTTCGAACAAGGATTGGTAAATTTGATCTCAGTAATCCCCCCTTTTAGATACAGACAATACTATGAGAATTTGGTGCCTCATCAGCGTAGCACCTGTAGTTGATAATTGTGAGTGCTTAATCAAGTAATCTTTCATCCTTGTTTTTTCATGATACTTTGGTGTTTTTCTACACTCGCTTGCCGTGTGTCCAAATGTTTTATCTGGAGTATGATCTTTGCATTTGATGACTCACAAAATGATTTGATTCTGTAGGAATTGTATGGCCGAAGTTGGACAAAGATAGCAAGCATGATCGAAACTCGTACGGCTCTACAAGTGAAAAACTACGCCAAGCAGTATTTTAAACAAAAGGTACAATACCGCTCGCGTGCACCCGCTTGACGTGCGTGTAATTCCCACGCACTGCACGCGTGAAACACGCGCACTACGTGTCATTACACGCACCTGCCTGGAGCAAAATATGCACACTTCAGTATAAATCAGTCCACTGAAACTACTTCAAACTGTATTTTTTCTGAGGTTATCTTTTTTTAAAAACATTTGTAAAACTACTAAAAAACTATTCTTCTAACAGACTTTCCGATCCATCTTCTATTAAGTTATCACCCAGAGCGCAAGCGGGAAGTTGTTTTTTTTTCTTTCGCTCCGCTGTTGACTTTGCGCTTCGCGCTTTGTAATCGTTCTACACTTCCTCGCTCAACCAAAAGAACACCGTTCCCTTTTATTTCTGCAGAATAAGACACTTGCGCAGTCAGTAGCAGCGAAAGAAGAGCAGTCCAATGAAACAATTTTCGTCTCTGAGGTACAAATACAGCAAGTCCTAGATGACAACATCATTTCAGAGGACGATCAAGTGATTCAATCGACAGCTGTCCTTCCTTCTGTTGTCGAGGAAAAAGCGCAGAATGAATCTGATGACGAAGACATCGAGGTGGACGTGGACGGATCTGATAGCGAACAGTCAGACATTCACTTAATTCCCGGTAATATTTGATATGAAATTTCCTGATGAAAGCAGTGTTTGTTTTTGGTAAAGGTAAAGATAAAGAATCCGATCCTACCGACGCGTCGGCCAACGCGTCGGTCGACTGTCAGCCGACGCTTTGGCCACCGTTTATCTTTATAACAGACAAGATGCGTCGGTGCTACGTCCCCATCTCCTGTCGTCTTAATCTGTTTTTGTCCCCACCTCCCCTCGTCCTAATCTATTTTTGTCCCCATCTCCTCTCGTCCTAAGCTATTTTTGTCCCCATCTCCTCTCGTCCTAATCTATTTTTGTCCCCCTCTCCTCTCGTCTCCATCTATTTTCTCCCCTCGATTTAATTTGCTCTCGTTCCCATTCCTTCCAATACAAATATTTTCTATTCGTAATGTCTCTCTGTCATAATCTGGTCGCGTCCAGTCTCGTCCTAATTTTTTTACCCCAGTATTTCTCGTCTCAGTCTCCCCTCATGGTAATATCTTCTCGTTCCAGTCTCATCTCGTCCAAGTATTTCCTCGTCTCAATTTCCCCTTAACTCTTCGTTTAACGACATGTGTGAGACAGCGCTATTGAAACCTTTACGAGCTTTTTTTAAGGTTACCGTGCACCTTCAGGGGTGTCTCGCGTGCAAGCGATGTAGCGCGTCCTGTTTAAACTGTAGATATCGAAACCCCTATATCAAATTAAAGCTTATAGGACTGATTATCAGACTATACCAAAATTTTGAAAAAAAATGAATTGTCGAATTTTTCACGACTTCTAAATGCGAGCACCCGAATCACCTTTTAAGAGCTGCAAGTCAAGTTCGATTGCTCTCAAATTTTGACAGTAGCTAGTTTTACATATAAACAACAAATACGTGTCTCCGAATTTTTTATTTCTAAATACCTTTTTTTCAAAAGCGATTTTTGTACGATCACTCCAGGTTTTTTTTTAATCCTATCTCAAAAACGTTCTGTAACTTTTCACTGAAACTGAATATGGCAAATCGCAGACACGAATTTTAGCGCTTTAGCCCCGGAAACGGAGGAACACATTAAATAAACAAAAAACAATATTCGCTTTGACATATAACGTTCAAAAGGTGATTCGGATGCTCACATTTAGAAGTCGTGAAAACTTCGAAAATTAATTTTTTTTAAAAATTTTTGGTATAGTCTGATAGCGCGGAAGTCCTATAAGCTTTAATTTGATATAGGGGTTTAGATATCTACAGTTTAAACCGGACGCGCTACATCGCTTGCACACGAGACACCCCTGAAGGTGCATGGTAACCTTATGTTCAATAAATTCTCTTCGCTCGAAGGTCAAACAACATCATGTCCCGATGCTGTTTATTCAGCCCTTGTTCGCGCTGCGGAAGTGGAAAACCAACAGATTAGTTTGGAAGAGAATCCTGCCAATATTCCGCCAGAGAGTATCTCGCCGAACACTTCGAAAACAGAGGCCAGCATCTCTGCTATCGATGAGAGAAGTTCTCCGAATGTGGATAAAAAATCGCTCTCTGAAAATAGAGCATCTTCGTCTCTATCAAACTCATGCCTAGAAACGGCTTCTTTAAACAAAACTATACTAAAAGAAAGGATGACCCATGATGGTCGATGCTATGGTGTGGAATATGGAAACCATTTGCTAAATGAATGCGAAGAACAATCATTTTCTGAGAAGCAGTGTTTTCCAGACCGACTCGCTAAGAGCTTGAAAGTAATTGCGGAAAACGATAGTGTTCAAAATGAAAATACAGGCCCCTATTCTCGAGAGCCAGTCGCACGTGAAAAATCCAGCGATGTATCTGATAGCGGACTGAACACTGCATTACCTTCGATGGATGACATAGAATGGATAGCAGCGACAAGTAGCGAAGTGACCAGCTCTGAGTTGATAGACTCTTTAGAACGAGAGCAGCCTGGGGCTGACGCGACTTTAATTCAACCAATCACTATCGACAGAAGTGTTATACAAGACTTAGAGAAAGATCACAATATGGAATTTTTCATGGGGCGCGCTCTGAAAACACCAGAGCGTTATATGAAAATTCGTAATTACATTCTCGACATGTGGGAAAAAACTAAACCGAATTTCCTTTTCAAAACAGCCGTGCGAAGCGGGCTTCGAAATTGCGGCGATGTTAACTCTATTGGAAGGGTTCACGCATTTTTAGAAGATATTGGGGCCATAAACGAAGGTTGTTTCGATAGACCAGTCCCCCGCGTCCGACAGCAAGACGAGACCACAGATGCAAAGGTCAACGTTCATATGGAATCTTGGGTAAATTCACTCAGACCAAGAAGAAAGCGACAGAGGAATGAAGAGGGAGACTGGATCGACCCGAGTAAAGCTGAAGGGATGACGATACAGGTATAATGTAGTAGAACTCTACTGTCCGCTTCACGAATCTTTATTTAGTAGCGGTGGCTAATTAATTAGCACGAAAGGTCTGGGTTGGAGACCTGCTCGAGCCAATACGTTGTGTTTTTTGTGTTCTTTAGCTTCTAAGATGGCAGTTCGTTTGTTTAACTGAAAACCTTAATTTTCAGCACTTGTCTCCGGACGAAGAAGCTTCACCTAATGGGTCCCTAAACGAAAAGGGCTCCCCGTCGGTCCCCAGGAAAAGGCCCTCTCGAAGCAAACCCTCTTACGATCCATTCTTACTGGTTCCCTGCCGGAAGTTTCCTTCGCAAAGTGCGGTGCCTTTCGACGTTCACATCCAATCAGAGACCTTGGTGGTCATGGACACGCATGCGCACATGTCAACCACTGAGGTGATTGGTCTACTTGGAGGACATTACTCACATGACTCGAGGGTATTGAAGGTAAGTTGTCAGTTATGTTTCTTACTTCCGCTTACGTCGGGATTGAGGAACAAACTTGAAAACCGATCGATTATGTCTGTTGCGAAAATGGTCTCAACCGTTTATTCATTGTTTGCTTAAATAGGTTTCCAAGGCGATCCCTTGTCGTAGCTTAAGCACAGGACTTCAATGTGAGATGGACCCCGTATCTCAAACGCAGGCCTCTGAAGACTTGGCACTCAGAGGATTGGCTGTGGTGGGCTGGTACCACTCTCATCCAACGTTCGCTCCCATTCCTTCTGTGCGAGACATAGAAACTCAAGCAAAATTTCAGGTTACTTTTCCGGAGTATTCTTAATGTCATGAATTTGGTGGCGGTAGGTGGGTAGGTGGGTAGGTGGGTGGATGGGTGGGAGGGGAGAGGCAGGGAAGGGGTAACAACCCCTCCTAACTTTTTCCATCTTTTAAAGTAACAGTTAGCTCGAACTGATTTATAATCTTGAATAAAGGTAGTGTAACCTTTACGGCTCATTTAATGAAACAAACAAACGTACCTTAAGCACGTTAAAGAACTGTTTTACCCTGATTGGGAATACAACGACCCATACCAGGACTACAACATACGTTAACGAAGCGACTTCAAAATCCAAAAGCACGTGGTAATAAGTCACGTGATATTACGTAACGAAACAACCGGAAATAAAAATAACAAAACGGAATTAAAATGGTAGCCACAAGTAGTGGAACAGTAAAATGTTTGGGATGGAAGGGGGAGGGGGTAGGGAGAAGAGAAAGTTATGTCTTCTCTTCTTTTTGCTTCATTCTCTCGTCCTCGGTCCCCATGGGAGTCTACCTGCAGGGAGAGGCAGGTACTCCTTTTTGCTTCATTCTCTCGTCCTCGGTCCCCATGGGAGTCTACCTGCAGGGAGAGGCAGGTACTCCTTTTTGCTTCATTCTCTCGTCCTCGGTCCCCATGGGAGTCTACCTGCAGGGAGAGGCAGGTACTCCTTTTTGCTTCATTCTCTCGTTCTCGGTCCCCATGGGAGTCTACCTGCAGGGAGAGGCAGGTACTCCTTTTTGCTTCATTCTCTCGTCTTCGGTCCCCATGGGAGTCTACCTGCAGGGAGAGGCAGGTACTCCTTTCGAAGACCTGACATTGCTAAATGACATACATTTCGCAAACTCACTTAGATTAACGACTTCTCCTTCCAAAACCAGCAAAACGGGGTTGAAAAACGATGTTATGAAAGGGCATCAATCACCCCTCCCCTCCCCTGCCCTCCCCAACATAGACTCGATCCTTGACCGCCCAGCCAAACGTTTAGGGTCCAGTGGTGTAAAGGGCGAATAACGCTGTCCAACGGATAAATCCCTATCCAGTTGATAAGTGATAGCAAAACGTGCTGCGCTATTTACTGGATAGAGATTTGTCCAGTGGATCGCGTTATTCATCCTTTGAACAACCGGCGGGACCAGTGCATTGATTTAGTACACAACGTGATGTCTTTCTATCTCATTTCTTTTTTTTGTTTACAGGAATGGTTTGCTAAGGGCGGAGCACCTTTCATTGGAATAATTGTCAGCCCGTACAATTACAGCAATCTGTCCAACCAATCACAGATAAGATGCTTGACAATCAGTGACGAGTGGGAGTCGGCTGGCCAGTATAGATTGCCGTATCAGTTTGATTACGAGGTGTTCAGAAACGAGGCTGATGAAGATGAAACGGTGGAACAAGTGAGAAACATAGCAGACGACTACAGGAGATATCCATTGTGAGATATATTTTTGTTTTTTCTTTTTCAAACTGCATTTTCCGAGCTGAAACAACTTTACACTGTATGGAACTTTCTAGGATTACCAATTACAGATGATTTCATGAGAACAGGTCGTATGCAATACAGTTATTTGATAAAAATTTGTGTTGGGATTGTATTGGTGTAGCTATTTGATTGGTTTAGCTATTTGGTTGGTTTAGAAAACTCGCGCCACACTCTCAGCCAATCAGATGCGAACTGAAATCAATCTCAGCTTGGTCGCAGCATTTTCCCGCCCTTTAGCCTCTTCCTTCCTTTCACTTTGAGTTCTCATTGGCTCTTGAGAATACTTTCCTTTCTTCTGATTGGCTATCTGTTGCTTGCGCTGTTTTCTTTTGTTCTGATTGGCCGGTTGTGTCAACTTAGGTTTGCATTGCATTTACAAAATGCGCCCGAGTGAGATCTGTCATCACTTATCTCATTTTCAGCCGTGTTCAACTCAATAGACGATTTGGTGTATCTACAAACTTGGACCTGTTGGACAAGCTTTTAGACTCATTACACGCCCGTATAAGTGCTTCATCCGATGGCGCAAGAGACGCTTTCTTAACCAGGTTAAAGAACACGATCTCGGAGAATATCAAAGCTCATACGCCAATTTCAGACAACCAGCCGACAAGAAGCACTCCAGACGACTCGTAATGACCAATAAGAGAATTTTCAGATCGTTCTAGCGCGGCAAGTACTAAGAAAACGTTCGTGCATCTTGGCCAGTCCATTTTGCGTATTAATTTGAATATGCAGTAATTTGAATATATCAACAAAGTTGAAATGGTAAATTGGCCACCGTTACGGTTATAAAAGCTGACGTTTGTCGATACATTCAAATTATTTCGTTACCCCGACCGACGCAGCGCTAAACAGTTTCTTTAGAAACTATCAGCCTTTATAGTTCACGACTAAATTTTCTCCGGTTCCTATTGGTTTAAATCGATCACGTGACGCGATAGTGTTCATCCGTGGAGAGACACTATCAGCCCATAGTGCCCGCCCGCGGAAAATTCCCGGATGGATAGTGCCCGTCCGCGGAAAATACCTGGATTGATAGTACTCATCCGTGAAAAGTTTTGAATAGTTTGACGGCCGCGAAGTTAGGCAGATCGGAAAAACAGTGACTTTTCAATTCTGACAGGTATACTACGGTTGCAAATTATTGACATTTGTGAGAAGCTGTAGGCGCGGAAGAAAATTTAGTGGTTAACAATAAAATCAATAGAGTGTTTATGTCTCGGAACTATCGGTCTGATAGTTGCCCCTTGGAAATTTGATGTTGTTAAAACTAGCATATTTGTTTTAAGAACATCAAATTTCCATTGGGCAAATATCAGCCGATAGTTCCTCGACAGAAACACTCTATTGTTTAATTATTCATTCTGCCTATTGATTGGTTGAAAGTTGACAAGTGACAACGCTTAACTAATCAGATGCAAAATTGTAAACAATTTTTTTCTTGCGAGGCCGACCACTGGTCTTTGTGTTTAGTTCGTTTCGTTGATGATTATTATTTGGTATTACTAACACTATTATTATTACTTATCATTATTACTATTATTATTATTATTATTATTATTATTATTATTATAATCACTAAAAATGACAAAAATCATGTTAAAAGGCTTAAAATGTCTGATAAAAATCGAAGAAAAGCTATTGGATACACGCTTCGGTTAGTAACGATGATGACAACAACAATAATAATCATAATAATTCGGTTCTCTAAGATCAGACTCGTATCAGACCCAAACTAACTTTGATAACAAAAACGACCTAAATATAAAAATCGCGAAAGCAACTACTAGTTCGTATTGAAATAATTTCAGAAAACGTGCATCGAAATTATCCTTGTAAAAGTAAATTATTTTAAAAAAATATATGAGAAGGGAAATGACACTCCTACTCTAAAAACTGTAAAAACAAGTTTTACAAATGTCTAGCCTATATTTGCCATAGCATTGTCAATTATTATTATTATTATTATTATTATTACTACTACTTCTGCGGTTGATCATTTTAGTGTTTTGCTCTATTGTTCTTGATAAGAGTTTTTCCGTAGGTTTCATTCCTCTGTTCGTAATTAATCTAACAAAATTTTTACAAACCGTTAAGACACAGGTAAATTTTGTGACCACAACATTCACGGGTAACGGTCAAACTAACCTCTTTCGCCTGAACGCATTTGGAGACGATATTAAACGGTTCCCTATAACCAGTTTGAAGCAAATTCCTTCACATGTAATTTTTATCTTTGTTCACTGAAATATTCTCTTCTCTGCTACGGTATATCCTTAATACTTCGGAGGATTTGTTGATCTTAACATTAGTTTGACTCATAAAGGAACGTGTTATGTAAAAAATGTTAAAAGAAATTTAATTGATGTAAATATTTGTGGTGTATAAATTCAATGCTTAAGAAATATCTTATTCGAAAATCTTAGCTGAAAGGGGAAGTGTTCATCGCTTAGATTTTAAATATAATGATGGCTGTACATGATTGTAAATAGATATTTAAAGTCGAGAGAGCTATTTAAAGAAAGAATATCTGAATAAAAGATTGATCATAAATTGTACACCTACACACCATTCCAGTTGTAAGGGAAAAGGTTCATACTATGCTTTGTTAGACAGAAGGATTGGAAAAGTTCCCAGTTTACGGGTGTAGCATCCCAATATTGTAGGAATTTTCTTCCCTCCCCACACATCCGAGCCGGCTTGTTTGTTTCAGTTTTTGGGCTATGTTCGTTGTTTTCTCTCTTCTTTTTGTTTGTTTGTTTGTTTGTTTTTTGTTTTGTTTGTGTATTCGTTATTTGTCACAGAACGGTTTTTTGTGGTGCTATATCTTCGGATTTTCATTTTGTTCTGACTTTGTGTTAAATAAATGTATGAGAACGAAATTAAATATAGCGGACTTGTTCTAAGAGAATAATTTGTTCCCAAGCCTACAAAAAATGGAAAGAAAAAAAAAATGATTGACAAAAAAAGAGGCAGACCGGTTGTGTGTTGCTAATCTGATGCAACACTCTTTACCCGTTCTAAGTTTGTTAATTTGGAGTGACCCAGTTATTTCTCAGAACCTTAAATGGGAAAAACTGTTCGTTCCTCTGATCCCTTAAGAGGTTTAAGTCACTCTGTTGAATCTTTCCTTTCCTATTTCTTGTGCTTTTCGAGTCGACGTTGCTTGCTGATCTTGGACCCCATTCGACGTGAATTATCCCTTCCGCGACAAGTAGGAGGCCCGGAGGCAAAGAGACAGAGTGGTAGGTTGGCATTCTCTTCATTTGGGTGATTATTACGTTGCCCGTTTCTACTTCCGAAGTGTCGATGTGAGCAGAGCCCCTGGGTGTTGTTGACCGCGCTGGTACCCCAGACTCGGAGCCCAAATAAATACGTTTTCGCAGCCGAGTTAACATTCCAGCCCGCTTCTTCTTTTTCGTTTGATCGTCGGGAAAATGCTGTAACTCCTCCTGGCGATCATATGATTCGGCTTGTCCCCTGGGAACACTTCGTAGATTGTCGGAATTAAAGTGATAGGAATGTGAGAGCTGTTCACAACTGGGCGCTTTGTTCGTCGAAGGGGCGTTCTTCCCTTCGCTCATTGTAAAATTTTAATGAGAACCTCCTCCTAAACTGTCCCAAAATGTAATCCAAATGTTTCGTGGCTCAATTTAAATTTTCCTTAATTGAAGAGTCTCCTCTAACTAATTCGATAGCCGCTAACTAATTAGTGGCCGGTAACTTTAAACTCAAAGGAATATTTTTTTTTTTTTAACTGAAAGAAAAAACGTTGACTTCATTTTCTTTGTAAAGTGGGGAGAGGTTATTCAAGTCATTTTTTCTTTGTTTGGTACTTGTAAAGTACTGTTAGTTTTCGCTGTAGCTTATATTTTCAAGTGGGTAGAGAGATGCAAGTCGCTGTTACAGGAATTGAGACTTCTTAAACAACTTACATGACGCTTTTCACAATCGTTGTAGCAATATGCTTTGATCGGTTCAGCAAAATGTACTTTCAAATTTGTCATATTTGAATAAATTGTTCCTAATTTAATTAGTGACCTTCGCGGTTAGAAGTCTAATAATATATTATCCTTGTAATGACGTTTGTAACCGTTTAAGCAATAATTGACTCTATTCATTACATCAATTAGCGGAAACATAAAGGATAATCAACGCCAAAAAAACAACAAGCTGTTAATTTTAAAGCAATTACTACTTCGGCTTGAGTTTCCTCCGAACAGAGAAGGCAAAACACAACGCTGTAGTTCGACGAACAATTTTGAAATAAACCACACCATCGAGATCAGTGTTATGTATAAAATTTCGGGGAAAATGTTCACTATTCGCTTGCACGTGCGTTAACAATGAGGTCTGAAAAAATTAGTTTCAAAATTCTCCAAGGTTCGACACACCCTGGTTAAAATAAAAATGATTCACTAACATGTCAAGTCTAACGAAGGTTCGAGATGTCAACAACACACTGTATTTCAAACTGTTCAAATTTATTTGCGCGATGCGCTCATGCCTATAATCTGTTCCGGTTAAAACAGAAAATGTACTCTACCAACCATAATTGTTATTATTATCACCACTTTTAAGTGTGAATATGAGATTAACTCCTTACCGCGTTTTGAGATTTCAAACAGTGACTCAAATGATCGAAATTGTTTTCTAATGCGCTTAAATTAGACTATGGCGTCCAAATTTGGAACACAACTTGGTAAGTCACAGCGCTAGGTTCACAAACAGCTGCTCCTTTAGTTATTGAAAAAACTAATAATAATAATAGTAATAACAGATCATAATCGGCAGTTTTAGATGCCTCTCTGTGTAGCTTCTACCTATTCAAACAGATCAATGAAAATTGAAAACTTGATTACGTCAGAGGTAAGAGGTTACGTTGCTAAGCAAAGTGAGAAAAATGCTACCCTAGGTACTCGAATTTTGACCTTATTTGAAAACAACTCTCGAAAAGCGAGGTTACTCTTTGAAATCACAAAAAGCAGTAAGTTTCATAATTTCATAGATACTACAGGTTTACAAATAATCTGGTCTCTAGTGCATGCGTCCCCTTTAAACTACCATACAGTTTCCCTCACTAGAAGAGCTATCTTTTCGCTGGTACGTTCGTCGAAACTTCTCGTCCACATACACCAAATAATAAGTCCCTGGAAACAAATCTTCCTTTGAGCCTATCGGCGTGTAGCTATTTTTGTTATGAGTATGTTCGCGTGTTTTAAGAGTTTCAAGAAACTCGGCAGGCTCAACTTCTTTTCGGGACTCCAAGCGTGCGGGGATATCCTTCAATGACGTGATCAGTGTGTTCAGCGGAGAACTGGGCCCAAAATCGTCTGAGATTCGAAAGGAAAACATAGCTGACGCGAGTCCAGAGCCATAGGAGAACAACATCACTCGTTTGCCAGCCAATTCTTCAAGTGACTGGCTGAAAAAAAAAAAATAGCAGAATGGATAAGGTAGAGCGTGCAATCAGCCTCACAATGAAGATATGAACGAACAGAGAGAAACAAACAAACAGCCTAAAGCGCGGGAAAACGCGGCGATCAAGTTTTACATCTGTCTTACATCTGATTTGTTGAGAGAGTGGCACGAGTTTTCTGGACCAATCACTGGACGAAGTAAAGCAAAACGAATGCATTCCCGGATTCTTTTCGACACTTATTGAAACTTGCCCTATACTTCAGGTCCTAGTTGTTCGAAAGGTGGACAACGCTGTCCAACGGATGGATCGCTCTTCAGCGGATAAATGTTCACAAAACGAGCTGCGCCCTACACTGGATAGAGCGTCATCCAGCGAATAGTGTAATCCACTCTTCGAACAACTTGGGCCAGGTGTTCATGGTTTTATGAGTTTGACAGCGACATGTGCCAGTGACTCACCTAAATTTTGCCAAATCAGCAAATTTTTCTCCCAGTGATCTTTCACATCCGAAGTCAGAAACGAAATCCTGGAACATCAACCGTGCCAGTGATTTCTGTACGATACGACAGAATGGGGTGTGGAACACAGCATAATCAATATCATCCAAAGTGAATGATACCTTACGGCAAAACTGCTTTCCTTTCTCTTTGTACCTCTTGTAACACTGGTCCAGCGCATTAAAATAGCACTGTACTGAGAGTTTGCCATCAACAACAGGATACTCAGAGGACATATTTGGCTTGTAAAAGTCGTACACATGCTGCATGTGCACTGATCTCATTCCTAACGGGATGAGGGAAATGATAAAGCAGTCAGTTATAAAAACAATAATATAAATATATATCTATTGTGGGAACCCAGCTTGCCAGGAGGTTTTCACTGGGGCTTTCAAGCATTAATCGATTGCCTAGTTGGTTATGTAAAGATGAAATTAAAAAAATAGGTAAAGTAAAAAATTCTATAAAAATTGTTTAAAAATTCAAATTAAAAAAAACAATAAAAATAGAAATAAATAAAATTAAAGTAAAATATTTTAATTTTTGATTCTAGTATTATTAATTAAACAAAATTAAAATCAGCCCTTAATGTAATCACACTGTACAATGCAACTCTCCAAGGCAAATGACAAATTAAATAAATGCAATAAGAAATCAGCCATTAATCTCCTTAATTTCTAACTCTACATGGTACAAAAAAATGTTTGTAAAACCCCTTTATTTCTTTAATTTATGTTCAGTGTTATTCAATTTCTATGACGAATTAACTGCTTCAATAAAAGCCTACAATATTGGACATTATATTACAAGCTGAATAATACAAACATTTCTATTGATGACAAACAAATAGATGATGTTGCTATTTAGTTTTCTTATTTACATATTTAACAAATAGCTTCCATGTTTCTGCAAATTCTATGCAGTAATAGATCACATAAGATGCACTCTCACCAAGTTTCTTTTCCTTCCCTTTAGTGGATTTCTCTAGATCCAACTGTTTCTGGCAAATTAACAGCAACTTTCCCTGCATCTCCCTTCAATGGTATTCAATTATCTAGTCCTAAACCAAGACAGGGTTAAAAGTCACCTTACCTGGTTCCATAACAAGAGGAGCATTTGGTCCAACCAGCATGGCAATTGCTCCCGCTCCTCCAGTGCTGCGTGCATTGCCAGCTGCATATACAGCAATGTCAGCTGCAACAACAATGGCTAGGCGACCTGTTGATCAAACCAACAGTACATATGGAATGCGTTATCCCAACATGTGTGCAAATGAATTCATGAAATTTCAAAAGGACACTGTACATATTAAACAATAGCCACCATTCAGTGCAGAAATATGACAGGATATTTGTATGCAGGATTACCTGTTCTGAGCACAAACTCTCTATTTTAGTGCCATGTGGAAGCCTTTTTCTAGTTACCATTTCTGCCAGTTTATTACATTCAAGAAAGAGTTGTAATATCACATAATTACAAAACAAAAAACATAATAAATACTACCAGTATATACTAAGAGGGGGAGGGTTAGACAGGAAAATCTTTGGCTCAAAATCATTACATTGGATTAGATTTTAGGATTAGAACAAGAATCTCACAATTTATACAAAAAAAAGAAGCATTATTTTTTTCTCATTTCTGTTTTCCTTATGTTTTTGCAACAAAGTACTGTGAGTGCAAATTAGCCAGATGGCCTTTTTCCAGACCAGCTGACTTCAACTAATCTGGCACCACACATCAGTTTTTATTATGGTCTGCCAGAGAATTGCCTGTGCACAAGGCTAGACAGGTCATATGTTAAATTAAAATTAAGAAAAACACATAAAATTGGGAGATTAAGGAGGATCAATACTTGCTCTACTGAGTTGAATCATAATGATTTGTTCTAAGTTAAACTCCCAAGATCTGATGGTTAATTCTCTTCTCTT